AAAGCGGCTGCCAGACAGTGCGGTCTTGGGCTTCCCGCCACTCCTTGTGGGACCCTTCTCATTGTGAGAACCCTTTCACGACATGCTACAGTCGGGGCGCTGACCTAAGGAACCCTCCATAAGGAACGAGGCCCCTTTTTCCCAAACGTTGAACTTCGATTTCCCATGGAAAACCTCAGGGGAACCTAAGGCAAACTGCACAACAATCAAGGAACACCGAGCCCCTCCCCAACGAAAAGGGTTCCTTCTTCAGCGCCCCGATTGTATTAAGGAAAATCTCGCCGGCACGGAGGCAAGACCACGATTCCGACATATAATATGTGAGGAAATCTCAAGCGAACAGGCTGCTGGACCAGGCAGCCTCGGGTTCCCCGTTCCTTCTGATTGGTAGCGGGCATGGAGGCGAGAGTACGTTAGTCAGTAAGTCAAGCCCGGCGCTCAAACGGCGCATCGGCAAATAAAAAGTTGCGCGTGCAGGCCTGCTGGAAGCAGACTCTGAGTAACGTCTGACCCGAAAAGGGGGCGCCGCGCTGCAATGCTACATGTTGCAATGCTGAAAGGCGAGAGCACGAATCCCCGAACCCGCCGACCTAGTCGGCGTGTGTGGGCTGTCTGTCCGGTCTCGTCGACGAGGTACCTTCTTTCGTCCCCTCCTTCTCATCCTCTTTTCCCGTCGGGAAGCGAGGAAGCGAGAGAGAGAGAGAGAACAAAAAAAACACCATTCCTCGTTCGGGGAACGGGTTCCTAGCTTGAGGGAATTCCATCCACGTCCTCAGTACGTCGAAGGGAAGCCCCTTCCCTTTGTCCCTTCCCCGGCGGAAGGGGGGTGTCCGGGGGGGGGGGTCAGATCCGCATCGCCTCTGATGGTCCTCCTCTCCCACGCCAGTACTTCTCCGGCGCGTCGGTCCTCCTCGGGTCCTCCTTCCCAGGAGGGGATGTGGGGAGGAGCCGCAAGGGGGGGAAGGGAGTTAGATACGCGTCCGTCCCTGGGGGTCCTCCTCCCCCTCCCCTCCCCTCTCCCACGCCGGTCCTCCTCCGGTCCTCCTCCCCAGTGGGGGGGTCCCAGGGGGGAGTCCTTTTCCTCCTCCTTCTCCTCGTCCTCCTCCTCCTCCTCCTCCTCCTCCGCCTCCTCCTCCTCCTCCTCCTCCTCACTCCTCCTCCTCCTCCTCCTCCTCCTCCTCCTCCTCCTCCTCCTCCTCCTCCTCCTCCTCCCCCTCCTGGTCGTCGTCGATGTCTTTCAGGGTCGGCGGCACCGGCCGTCAGGCCTTCACAAGAAATTGTGACGAAATCTCTAGCGAAACAGCGGCCAGATCGGGCGGTCACGGGCTCCCCGTCCCAGCTGTGATAGCTGGCACGGAGGCGAGTGGAACCTGTGGTGCCTGTCGGACCTGTTGGACCCGGAGGAGCCTGTGAGGCCTGTGGGGCCTGTGGGATGTGTGGCACCTGTGAGGCGTGTGGTGCCTCTGCGGTATGTTGGACCTGCGGGACCTGTGGGCCCGTTGACCTGTGGCACCTCTGGGCCTGGGGGGCCCGCGGGACCTCCGTGGGGCCTGTGGGACCTGCGACCTGGTAGAACTTGCCGGGCAGGTGGAACTGTGGACTTGTGCGACCTGTGGGGCCTGTGGGAGGTCCGTGGGACCTATGGGACCTGCGACACCCGTGGGACATGTTGGACCTTTGTGGCCTGTGAGACTTGTAAGACCTGCGAGAACTGTGGGACCTGTGGGACCTGCGAGACCTTCAAGACCTGTGGGACACGTGGGACCTGCGATACCTCCGGAACCTGTGGGGCACGTGGGGAACACGGACTTGCGCGATCTGTCGGACCTGTGGGACCTGTCGGACTCCTGTTGGACCTGCAAGACCTGTGGAACCTGCGACACCTGTGGAACCTGTGGGACTTGTGCGACCAGTGCGACATTTGGGACCTGGAGGGACCTGTGCGGCCTCTACGGCATGCGGGACCAGTAAGACCTCTAGGTCCTGTGGCACGTGTAGCACCTGTGGGTTTTGTTGGGCCTGTGGGACCGTGAGACCTGTGGGGCCTGAGGGGCCTTTGAGACCTGTGGGGCCCGCGAAACCTCTGGACCTGTGAGACCTGTGGGGTCTGCGGAACCTGCCCGGCCTGTACGACCTGAGGAACCGTGGCCGTCCGGCCGGACAGTGTAGCCGGCATTGAAGCGAGAGCACGACTCCTGAATAAGCTGTGCGGAAGTCCCACGCGAAAAAGCTGACAGACCAGGCGGTCTCGGGTTCCCCGTTCCCTCTGTGGTTTCTTTCTCCTCAAATTCTAACCACTCTTTTTCAATGGCTTTTTAAACTGACTGTGAAAGTGAACAATCTGTTCGTTTTGAAAATTTAACACCAAATGGAGGCGGGAGCACGGGTCCCGAATGCATTGTGCGCAAAAGTCTCCGGCGAAACGGCTGCCAGGCCCGGCGGTCTCGGGTGGCCCGTTCCCCCGTGGAGCCCGTATGCTGTGATTTACCACAATGTGGGCCCTCCAGCTATTAGAGAATGTATAGCCAGCATGGAGGCGAGACTACGAATTCATGAATTGTGAAGACCTTTCCAGCGAACTGTCTGCCAGGCTGGGCGGTCTCGGGTTCTCCGCCCCCCCTGTGGCATCCGGCATGGAGGCGAGAGCACGATCCCTGACAATCTGGCTCCATCAAGCAGACATGCGGAAACTTGATGGGTTCCACTCACGGAGTCTCAGCAACATGCTGCCAAGCTCATCTTCGTTTGTATCTCGAACTCGGAACAAAACAAGAATGGAAAACCGTGGCGAAGGGTCACTAAGCACCACACTCAGTGAGAGGTACACTGCAGTGTATTGTCATATTCCAGCCATCCCCAAAGATAATTTGTTACGAATCCTCACTTGCGATCCGCACTCGAGCGAGCCACGACGCTGGGATCTCCAACGGAGGCCAGGGAGGCCTCAGCAACAATAGCCTATATGCGATCGCGACCAATGTGGCAATCATTGGCTGTTGCGCCGTCTGAGCGCCAGGCTTGACTGACAGCGAAACAGGACTACGGAACGATGGAGCTGGGACAAGGGCGACAGCGGAGAGACGCCCCCCAGGGCAGGGGCAGCACGGCCATTAGCACCTCGTTGCATTCTCTCGCAAGAAATCGGGGCCGTCCAGACCAACAGTGACCGTCCAGACCAGCACTGTCGCCAGGATTGAAGCGAGAGCACGGTTCCTGAGACTACTTGTGCAGAACTCCCAGGCGGAACGGCTGCCCCACCGGCTGCCAAGCTGGGCGGTCTCGGGTTCCCCGTCCCCCCTGTGGGACTCTTCCGTTGTCTTTCTCACCGCGCCCTCCCGCGAAACGCTACTGTCCGCGCCGATGTCTTAGACTGGCGCTGGACCCCCCTCCCATGGCGCGCCAGAGGTGCCGCCAGGGGGTCCAGCGCCGATCCAAGAAATCCGCTCGGACCTCCGCTCGGAAATCCGCTCGCACCTCCTCGTCCTCGTCGTCGCCTGCATCCTCTACCTCCTCCTCCTCTTCCTCCTCCTCCTCCTCATATATCAAGTTCTCCCTCCCTCCCCGTCCTCCGCCTCTTCCTCTGCCTCTTCCTGCCATTTCTCTTGTTCCCCAGACAGTGCTTGCACTCAGGGTTCTGTGCACAGTTTCCCCGGGGGCCGTAGGCGACCCGAGGAGGAGGCGGAAGAGGAGGAGGAGGTGGAGGAGGGGGAGGGGGAGGAGGAGATGGAAGAGGAGGAGGATGAGGAGGAGGAGGAGAAGGAGGAGGAGGGAGGAGGAGGAGGAGGAGGAGGAGGAGAACGAGGAGGAGGAGGAGGAGGTGGAGAGGAGGAGGACGGGTCGCAAAACCTTCGGAGAAACCCTCCAGGGTTCTCTTACTTCCCTTCCGAAGAACTGGGCCTCGTTGGCGGTCCGGCCGGCTTTTGTGGCCGCCCGCCGCCAACCGTCGGCCTCTATGGCCGCCTGTTTCGCCGCCCGTCGTCGCCGTGTCCTTGCTCACGGTTTTGACTTGGTGAGGCTCGCACGTTGCAATGCTTTGCGTTGCTGTGCTGTGCTTTGCTGGACATGTGTTCGCGCTGCTATGCTTTGCGGTGCTCATTGCTCTGCAGTGCAGTGCACTGCTGCGCGTCGCTCTGCATCATTGCTTTGCGCTGTACTGCTATGCACCGCTTTGCGTTGCACTGCTGTGCATTGCCATTGCCTGACATCGCGTTGCATTGCTGCGCCTTGCCTTTTTGTTGCGTTGCACTGCTTGGCAGTACTTCGCATTGCATTGCAGTGTGTTGCATTGCTGTGCATTGCTGTGCACTGTTTTGCGTTGTTTCACGTTGTTTTGCAGTGCGTGCATTGGCTTCAACTACATGGCGTTGCATTGCGTTGATTTGCATGGCGTTGCATTGGTTGGCGCTGCTTTGCCTGGTTTTGCATTGGTGCCAAATGATTTCCATTGCTTTGCATTGCGTTGCAATGATTTGCATCGCGTTGCATGTCTGGGTAGTGCTCGGCACTTGTTGACTTGTGCTGTATCAGTTTGCATGTGCTTGCATTACTCTACATGGCTTTGCATTGGCGTGGATTTTATTTCGCTGAGTTGCACTGCTTTACATTGCTTCACATTGCTCCGCACTGTGTTACATTGATTTGAACTGCTTTGCATTAATGTCACTGAATTGACTGCACCAGATGGATTGCTCCACCCAGGTTGCACCAGATTCAGTGCACCACCGCTGCCTGAGGTTCACGCTGGCTAACATCACTATTCATCGATCTCCTCCTCATCATCATCAGTATCATCATCAGCATCATCCTCATCTTGATCCTCCTCCTCCTCCTCCTCCTCATCATCATCATCATCATCATCATCAGCATCAGCATCATCATCATCATCAGCATCATCATCATCATCATCATCATCATCATCAGCATCATCAGCATCCCATCTTCCCGCCCCGCAGGGAGGAGACGTGCGATCCCCAGACAGCTGGTCGTAGAACCTCCCGAGGTCACCCTCGAGGGCCTGCGGGCTGCTGCCGAGGGTGCGGCGAGGTGGGGCAGGGGAGGCGTCCCCCGGAGGTCGCTCGCGCGGGGCGACGGAGGGCTGCGGCTCCGTCGCAGACCCTCTGCCTCCAGCCCTGCGCCCTCGTCCGCCTCCTCGTCCTCGGCCTCGTCCTCCTCCTCCTCGTTCGATGCAGCCTCAGGCCGAGAGAGAGAGAGGAGGGGGGGGTGGAGAAGGAGCGGGAGGAGGAGGAGGAAGAGGAGGAGGAGGAGAGGTATATAGGAGGAGGAGGAGGAGGAGGAGGAGGAGGAGGAGGAGGAGGAGGAGGAACAGCAGGAGGAGGAACAGCAGGAGGAGGAGAGGGAAGAAGAGGAGGAGGCTGGAGCGGAGGAGGAGGAGGAGGAGGACAGGGAGGACAAGGAGGGGGATGAGGAGCGCACGTAGCTTGACAGTTCGTGCCAGCTACGCGGGGGGGCTCCGCAGCGCACCTCTTGCGAGGGCGGCCGAGGATGCCTCGCCGCGGGTGTGGCGGCCGAGCGGCACGCGAGGCCGCAGAGGGCGTTGTCTGCTCTCAGCGTGTGGTAAAAGACGGGAGCTCGGAGCGACGACTTGATGGCCGACTTCGCGGGGGCACGCTGCTTCCAAACCAGGCTCAGCTGCAGACCCCAGGCGAGATGAGGGGCGAGGACGGGAGCAGACCACGGCAGAGAGCGAGAGGAGGAGGAGGAGGAGGAGGAGGAGGAGGAGGAACAGAAAGAGGAGGAGGAACAGGAGGAGGAGGAGGAGGAGGAGGAACACAACGAGTTCAGTTCAGTTCAGGTTGCCCGCGGAGGTCCAAGATGATGGCAGCATCGCATTCTCTCGTGCCTCTGGGCGTCGCATTGCGACAGTTGTGGAACTCCGCTCTCTGCGAGACGGCCCATGGCCCCTCGGACAGCTGTCCGCGCTGCCCCTTTCAGGAGCGATCTGCCAAAGGGGCGCGCAACCCAGGCAGGCACCCCCTATGGGGACTAGCGCGCACCTCGCCCCCCTACCCCCCCCCACACGACGACGACCACCCCCACTCGACGCCCGCCCCCCTCCCTCAATTCTGCCGCCACGGCCAGTGCCATCGGCCGCCATCGGCTGGTGCCGAAGGCGCTCTGCGGCTCAGGGCCAGGAGGCGCCTCCTGCGATTCTCTCGGCCGCTGGCCTTTTCCGCGCCCGAGGCTGGAGGAGGAGGAGGAG